TCTCTGTAATAGACCAACAGTTTGAGTTAACAGCACAAATCAGAAGTGAAGGGAGGCATGAACTCTCTCACATGCACACACATGCAGCTGTTTTGCCAATAGAGCTATCAAACCTCTTTTTGTAGATGGCAGAAAAATCAAATTTAACCTTAAAACACTGACAATTCAATGTGCATGTATCTATGCAACTAGAATTAAGAAATAGACATTCAAAATTGTATTATAAAAAAAAAAAAATCTTGACCTATTTTCAGTTTATAGTCAAATCTCCTTTTATAATTATATTTAACTCCCTCTATAGGGTTGGGTGTTGAAAAATCTTTACTGCTTTATATGAAACAAATACCCAATAAGGCTGTCACTACCCACCCCCATATGCACGTTCATTTGACACAATTGTTACCAAAGTACTTTCTCCTGTACACCAAATATTTTAACATTTATCCTGCCCCATCCCAAAATTGTAAATAAACTTTTTCATTGATTTTAAGTTTTTTTCTTTGGCAATGTCAAATTACTTATTTACGCAAGTAACATATGTAATCACTGAACACCTGATAACGCTGGATTATCTTAATCTATTTCACATTCTGAGATTATTCTCATAATCAGCTTTTCTTTCTTTTTTTTTTTTTTGTCTATGAAGGGGGGGATGGTCAGCTAATGTTTCCTGCTTGAATAAGATTAGCTAAATTTCAGTTTAATTTTTTTTTTTTTTTTAAGAAAAAAAAATGTTGACATGATTAGTTTCTTGGCTCATTGAAGAGTTGCAGGAAATCCAAGGTTGTTCTTGACCACTGAATGCATCATATGCAAGTAATCACACTTTCAGGACAAGAATAATTTTTCTTAAGTTTTCCCACTCCCTCTTAACCCTCGAGGGGAGGGGTAAAGGAAGTGTTACTTTAGAGGATGAGGTAGTTTGGTAGCAGTACCAGTTTACCTTTTGATAAAGGAATGGCTTAAATTTAGGGTAAATCTCTAAAGAATCAACCTTCTTTGTTAAAACCAGCCCTATAAGAAAGTTAAAAATAAAATTAAAAAAAAAAAATTGTAAAACTTAATTTTTTTAACTGAATATCACTAGCCCAAAAGAGGAACACATGGAGTTGGTTTTAAATCTAATTCCTTGAAATACAACGGTAAAGAGAGAATCAACTCTTTCCACCCTTTCCCCCACATTGTGTTTTGTTAAATTTCAAACTTGTTCAGATTTGTTTCTTGTTTTCTTCTGTAGTCAATCAGGAAGATATGAGCTTTTGTAAAGCAATAAATAAAAAAAAAAAAAATTGTCAATATTTTGTCTGCCTTTTTAAAATTTGTTTACTTTTCCTTTAAAGGACAGCTTCATTACAAAGAGATTAAATTTTGAATTCTTTATCAAACTCCTACATTTTTTTCAAGTATCCTTGGAAATCAATTAGAAACAATCCCTCCCTATGAATGGAGTACTCTATAGACATTTTGGAGAAGGGATTGATATTTTTTTTTTTTAAACCATCATCCAAAATTCTGAAATTACTTTCTTTAAAACCTTTCATGTTCAAGTCTCACTGCTATTTTCAGATTTATTACCATATACTTGGAGAACAACCCCCCCCCCCAAAGGGGGGTGCAATTTTGCTAGCAACTTTCAGGTCTTGGTTTGAAAATAAAAATTCTCCAAGTCAGACTTTGCTTTTGCAAAAAGAGAGAGAGAAAGAGAGAGAAAAAAAAAATTGTTAGCTTGATCAAAAAAGATCATCAAAACTGGTAAGGAAAAAAAAAAAATGAATATAATCAGAATTTAAATTGGACTAAAGAGTATTCAACTAAGGTTTTAAATTAAAAAGTTGCAAACATGAAATTTAAAAAACATTACTACTATTCAAACGGAAAAATAATTTAGTTTCTGAATTTAAATAAAAAAAAAAAATTTTTTTTTTTTTTGGACTCATTCAAAGAAACCTAAGAGTTATAAGGACGACAAAACATTCAAAATAAAACAATCATGTCTCACGTAGAAAGAAAAAAAACTGGAAGGAGCTTTGTTTAAAATTAAGAATGGGGAAATATTTCGGGTGTCTAAAAATTTAATTAGTTGAAGTAATTTTGATTTACAGAATAGTATTTCTCAGTCATGGCATGGGGAGGGGGGAACTATAATTATATATTTAGTGCAATTTAAGTTAGAAAAGTGTAAGTAAAAAATTTGAAAGATGAACCTTCTGTTTAGATGTGGATTAAACTTAATTCCAATCCAAACTGAATGGTTAGAGATTAGCAATTTTAAAAAATAAAATAAAATCAATGAATAAATAGTTTTTTTTTTTTAACACTACTGTTCACCCAATACAAGGCCCAAGAGCCACGTCGGGTAGAGAAGTGCAGTTTCTTATGGGGATGGTTCGTTCAGTATATATAGCATGACAGGTATTGTCTGTATAAGGTGGGAAATAATTCATCACCCACAAGGCTGTGAAGATGCTTTTGAACACTATCAAAACTGGAAAGTGAGAATTGGGCAGCTTTAGCCCAGACTGCAAAAATGCCAAGAAAAAAAATTTCTTTGGCCAAAAAGTAAAATTTTCACATTGGCCAAAAAGTAAAATTTTCACAGGGAAGCAAGTTCGAGCCTTCCAGTTTACATTGGTTGAAAAGTTGCAATAAAAAGCAACTGAAATTAAGATGAAAATTAACAATGCTTCTCAGTTGACTAAATTATGGAATTTTTCTAAGATCAATGAAAATTAGAGTTTATTCCTTGTCCCCAGGATTTCAGACTCTTGACATTTTCTGTTGCACTTTAAAATTTTTTTTCTTCAAAATTTGACTTCATACAGACTTTGTCAAATGTCATTAACCAGGAGAAAGCAAGGTGATTTTGATATGCGATTTAAGCAATTTTTTTCCCTGAAAGAGGAGAGACGTGTGTTTTTGTTTTTTTTTTTTAATGCATGCAAAGATTTGATGACATCTACTTAAATATGAAAGAGATAAAAGTTAACGAGTCAAAAAGAACGGAAAATACTCAAATTCCATTTTTTTTTTATATATATATATATATATATATATATATATATATAGATAATGAAAAAAATTTCAGAGTGCAAAAATTTTTTTTTTTTTAAAGTCCATAAATTTTCTTCTCTGGATTCCAAAAAGAAAAAAAAAAATCTTAATTTCTTACAGACAGATTCCTTTATGTATATAAGAAGGAGAAAAAAAAAAAAAAAAATCAAAAGTGAAATTCGGATTAAAATTAAAAAGAGGAAGAGAAAAAAAAAAAAATGAAAGATTTCTACAGATTTTTTTTTTTTTTTGCATTGAAAAACATTTTAAAGAAAAATTTTATTTTTTAATCCATCAATGGCATTAAGATAATTATTCAGGCTAATATCCTTAGAGTTTTTTGGTTTTTTTTTTTTTATTTTAAATAATGGGACAAAAATTTAACGGACAAAGAATATTAATCTGATTTTTGAGATGTGAATGCCAAAGATGGATGATCACCTTGAAAATATCAAGTCAAAATAAACCTGTTTAAGGTTCAAGAGTTTCAACAATCAGTTTATTTTTGTCTGGACTTTTCACTTTCGTTCTTGTCAGTTTCATTATTATTATTAATATAATTATCCAAATATTAATTCCTGGTTTGTCTCTGCAGGACATTTTTCATGTCTACCCTGTCTGACACTTTCACCTGCTCAGCCTCTGTCTTCAAATCCCTGCAGTAGGGGTTTTTAAGTGAGAGAGAAAAAAAGGATGGGTGTGGGAGGCGAGGGGGTGGGGGTAAGATTTGTATTTGTTGGTGGGGCTGGGACATGGCTTCTACCTACCATATTGGATAGATAGAAGGGAAATTCTAATTTTTTTCTTCAACATTTTTTTTTTACAATGGTTTTGTCTTTATATGCCTCCATTTTTGCTTTGTGTCTTTTTTTTTCCCTAGATGGGGAGGTAGTGAGGTATCAGAATGCTTCTTCCTCCCCTTTTACCCACCCCTTCCACTTTCATTCTCGCCCCCCCCCCTTGTCAGGCAACATTTATTCCCTCAATTTCATCAAGAATTGAAACACACACACACAAAGCTGATAAAAATAATTTACTGTTAAGATTGAAGTGGTCACTCTAGTAACATTGGACAACCTAAGATAAACCCAAGTGATTTATTTTCAGTATATATATATATATATATATATATATACTGAAAATAAACAGTAAATAAAACCTTCGCAGCAACCAGGGCTGTGTCCGGGGGAGGGGGGACTGTATGCACAAAATGAGTTTTGTTCAGAGCCAAAGAATAATCACTGGAGTGAAAAGCTAGTTTCCCCGCCTCCACCTAGATGTAAAGAAGCAGCAAGGCAGGCAATACAAATTTTACAAGTACTGAAGAGGAAGAAAAAAAAAAAAAACCCCACTAATTATAGATAGTCATTGAGGTGGGGGTGCTTGAGGGGTTTACCGTGGCCATTGGAGTAAATCCAGATGATTGGTACTCCAAACTGAATGTACAATATCAAATCACTGGCATTGGAGGCAGAACCCTGAATCTTGTGGCCTTCAGTTCACTGCACTACCATTGAGCTATAACCATGAAAAGGAGGAAAATTAAGGGATTTTTTTTTTTTTTTTTTTTTTTTGAATCTGAATTTCTAGTAACAGTGGCGGTGATATCAAGCTGCATTTGTGTATGGAAACATGGTAATTCTAATGTGTAAGGGTTTGAATTCATAGAATTCAGAGAGAGAGAGAGTGTGTATGTGTTTGTATTCATGCACTCAGATGTGCATGTGTAAAGAGTAAGATTTTGAAGTGCATATGAATAAGTACCCCCACTGCTTTTAGTGTGTATCAGTATATATGCGTGAGAGAGCGCCTAAATCAAGTTACTAAGGAGAGTGTAGCAAATGGCGAGGGTCAGAAAGAACAGGCCAAATATCCGGCATCCACACACACACACACACACACGTCCATACAGTCTCACTCATATACACAGTATCGCTAGAGACATCCCTCTACTTTAAGCAACGCTCAAAGTATGTGGAGCCAACGTAACCTCCACGCATTGATTTAGACACATTCTGTTCAAACAAGCGACGGTTATTTTGCAAAACTTCAGCAGCCTCCTTGTTAAGAGGGTCTTCTGGGTTAGGTTCCTGCAAAAAATAAAAGAATCTTCAGGTTAAAACATTATAAAGCAAAATCTTACATTGGGGAGGCGATGAAAGGAGAGGAGAATAAAAAGCCAAAAAAGCTAAACATAAACATGCCTCTGCAATACGATGGAATGTTAAAGCAGTGTTTGAAGATCAAAGTTGACTGGGAAGCAAGAAACCAGAAGAAGGAAATGTGATAGAAGAAACTGTTAGCATAAAATGTCATGGTCACATCTAGACATTTCATCTGTAAAATGACGAGACCTTGCTGCCAATCAAGTACTGCATTTAAATTCATAAAGTCTAGATACCATAGAGGAAAGTTCATCAAAACAATTACCATGAAAGAATTTATAAACAGAAGGGTGGTGTGAAAGTGACTGAAGTCGTGATGCCAGGTCAAAACCAATGCAGATACTTCTTGGTATTTCTAAATATATAGCAGATATAGCAACAATATTTAAAGCAAGGATGAATAGTAAACATACACACATATATACGGCTGTTGTTATTTATATACATTTGTATATAATACGTTAGGATATCCCCTTTCCCTGCCATGTGCCAATAGCTTAGACTGATGTTAAACCAGTCAGTTTTTGATCCTGGTTTGAAGCAATTGAATGTCTAGCCACACAGATGGTGTGTGTGCGCGCGCGTGCGAGAGAGAATGCTATTTACTTTCCTTCCAGTTTTCATTGTCTTCAGAAGTCATAGATTTATAAAAGAGCCAAAGAGCGGACAGTAGAATTTGATTTGAATTCTTTTTTTTTTTTTTTTCTTTAAATGAAATCCTGATTACAAGACAATTACTAATTATACTTTTCCTTTTTTTTTTGTTCTTTGTCTCCTGTCAGAAGATAAACTTTAAAACTCTTAAAAACAATGCTTAAATAAATAATTAAACTTACCAAAAATAAATATTGTAAACCATAAACTATTGAATTGACAGTCAATACTGGTTTCCAGTCTTCTCTGTAAATAGAAAATATATAACAATTTAGTCACATTATGTTTATGCTCCTCTATTGACAACATTTTTTATTAATATATTTTTATCTCCCTGCCAAAAAGATGAATAATAGAAGAAAGAATTCATGTAGAAGCTGCCCATTCAAAGAAACCACGTACAAAACATGTGAACAATAAGGAAGTCTTAAGGAAAATAGAAACTTATACTTACAAAGAGACATTTAAAATTTCCAGAACACATGAGGAAAGAGGGCCTAGAGGATTTAACACTCTCAGGACAGCAAGTAATTTCCTGAGTGCGAAAATAGATGGCAGAACAAAGCGGTATGGTAAGGAGTCAAAAGTTACTTAGAGCAACAAAAGATAGAAAGTTATGGAGAGCCACAATCACAGAATATAAAAGAAGCTAATGTCAATCTGGTCAAAAGATGACTCAAACCGCTTTCACCAGTTCAGTAAGTCAGTTAAGTGCCATACGTGATACACACTTGTGCAATCATGTCTCTTGATTCATCAATGACTAGGCAGAAGATTTTACTGCAGTAGGTTGCCATTTCTTTCTGCGGTAGAATGGTTGCCAATTTGTCCTGCTTGGGGGGATGGAGAAAAGGCGGTCATACCTTTCCCAAGAGTATTTCTTGGGAAAGTGAATCTAACAAACTTGTCTGATTTCTCATTCTGAGCCGATATTCTTTACACCACAATGCAAAGTTAAGGAGAGGAAAGAAGAGTCTTACCTGCATCAATCAATCTTGTAGACTGAGTGCCTCCCGTCCACTTTGTTTTCCTTTTAAAAACCAAGTATATGCCTAAAATGGATTTTATTAGGAAGCAGCCAAGTATTACAGCAACAACAGACTGGAAATGAAAATTTACTTTACTGTATGGCACTTAACTTCTTCTCTGAAGCATTTTAAACTCTCAGACATGATTGTCCTTTTATTCATATTTGCTGATCACTTGATGAGACAATGGTAATATCTGCCATTTCCCTACAAGGAAACATTTAGCATTGACTGAGCAGCCAGTACTGCTTTTGGTTGAAAGTTATAACATCTTTCTCTTAAAACAATTTTTCAGAAAAATAGGTTTCTCAAGCCCAGTAACTCTAGTATTGATGGGAGTTTCTTTCCTAAACATTTTTTTTTGTAGTTTTGAACATCAACATCTTGATGTCATCATTTTCTCTGAGTTACATACAGGTGTTATCTATTTTAGTTGTTGTTGCTGTTGGCTGTCCCCAAATGATGTGGTTTCTGTTATTTGGTACAGTTCTTTGTGAACTGATGTTACGGAAACACAATGTTCAAAGAAAGATGGCCTTTGCCAGAACCCACAGACTTTACTCGTTCAAAGCCAATTTTTTATCTATTGGTCTTAGAAAGTGCTTGTATACAGTTAAAAGTTTCAGTATTTCTGAACAGATTTGGCACCAGGCATCCATATGAAAGTCAATCTGATGAGGCTATTTAAGAACATGACTCAAGTTTTCAGGTTGATGTTTTGTTTTTGTAGCAATTTTGCAACAATGCTCACCCACCAAAAGAATTTTGCAACAATGCTCACCCACCAAAAGAAAAATGGCATCTAACACTGGCTGTTTTTTTTTAAATTATAAATAATTTGTTTGGTCTTGTAAGTCAAAGGTGATGGTTTACCCAGACAGTGTGGTCTACAGATAACTTTTGCCATATATTTTTTTTTTTTTTTTTTAAATTCTGTAAAGCAGCAGCAAAAGAAAGAAAAACGTCCATGCTTCCTTACCTTAATATATTCAAACAAACATTTCCTTCCAAATCGATATTGGGATGATATACCATCGTTTCACATTTGACTTTAGGTGGATCGTGTGGATAACCTTGACCAACTTTAAAACTGAACACAAACCGTCCACTTCGGTAGAATCCCTGACAATCATAAAAGAATACGGAATCAAGATGCAGGCAATGAATATTGGTATTTACTGATATCTTTGACTAATGTGAGCATCAATTAATTTGGAAGACTATTCTTTATTCAGGCATACAAGAATAATTCTAATATTTTACCTATCAGGTTTCATTCAGAACTAATGAATGATGTTATTTAATGGACGGACACGAGAGAAAGAAAAGATGAAAATGTGGAGAGCAGATGATGGTCCTACAAACAGAGGAATACTATTTCAAAGAGGCTTTCAACAGCAACCAATGATTGATGATTATATACATGTTATATGCAGAAATATAGTTTTAAAATGTGCTATATTTATGGGATAAAGTGCTCAATATCACAGATAGTGCACATGTGAATATAAAAGTGAACATTGAAATCAACACTCAGAGGCGACAGGCTGTTTCATGCTAAACTTGACGATTGCGTCTAGCATGAAACAGCCTGTTGCCTCTGAGTGTTGACTTCAATGTTCACTTATATATAAAAATCAGTGCATGAGTCAATTTTAATGAAGCTACCAAAACATTTAATCTAGAACTGGCTAACACCTTTTGGAGATATTTTAAAGTTTTGAGCTAAATAATTTGATTTAAGCAGTTACTACAAAAAAGTAAGCCTTTGAATTGCTCTATGTAAAGAGACTGATAAAAAAAAATAATTGAAAGTGGTTAAGTTTTTAAAATATACACAGAGAAATATTTTGAACTCTCTATAAATTTCATAGAGAGAGAAAAAATATTAAGCCATATTTAATTTTTTTTTTTTTTTTTTTTGTAAGAAAAAATAAATCAAAATTAAAAATGTCTAGTTGTTGAAGCTTAAATAAGCATGGAATAATACAACACAAAATGTACGTTAACAAAATGTATTGAAACAAAGAATAGGTACACAATATTTACAGTTAGTTTGGTATATTCTTGGGAAGACTGTTCCTGCATAATGGGTTGACTAAATAGCAGTCGGGCAGAGTCTCTGGATTCAATTTCTTAATCTCTACTATCTTCCCTGTCTTCCGGTACCAACCCATATTTATATGGTCGGTAGTCCGCTTATGTAAATTAGGTGTATCATACACAACACTAGTGTAATTTTTGCAAATCACATTTAAATATATTGAAGCTAAAGTAGGTACCTCCATGAGATCACTAAAAATGAGCATAGCATGATGAAAAAGATGCCAAACTTGATGAAAACAAAATTCTATCATCTAAATGTTCATGTTATTATTAAGAGGAAAGATCAAAGAATTTTGGGGGTATTTTTTTTTTACATTTTTTAATCATTACAAGCACCTCTGAAATTTTCGTTAAACATCTTACTTTTTTTGAGTCAGCAAAATCGACAGATAATCAATCATGGCATCCATTTTTTCCATTTTATAAAAAAAAAATGAAAATCTCACTTTGAAATTCTTTTAAAAAATCAATTATTTTTTCAAAACTTATTTTAAGAAAATCAGAAATTATAATGTTTATTTAAAATATTTTGAACCAAAGTTAACTTAGCTTCTCGCTGAAAAGATGTAATTTGAAAATAAAACAAAGCAGGTCATAACCTTTCACGTCACTTAACAGGTGTTGAATGACGTATTGACGGATTACGTGATCATAATTTGAAAATTGAAGTTATTTAGATTTAAGTGAACAAATTATTTACCTTGTTATTTTTAAGGAAAACTTTCAGAATAATTTTATGTATATTTATTACATTTTACCGTGCTATTTGTATTTCCATTCATTTTATTATTAATTTTGATATTTCATTTATGGGAAAATATAACAGATTAATATAAAAATACGATCATATAAATTTCATAAGATGATACCGATACTTGTAGATACCCTTCTCAGTTGAAATTGAAAAATCAAATTAACTTCGTGTTTCGCAAAAGTAAAGGCCTTAACAGCAGAGAACAATGCTTAACTCAAATAATGCAACTTAATTGTATTCTGGTTGGTCTTCCGTACTTTATAATTACGGCCCAATTATAAACACAAAATTACATTTCTTAATTACTGCGGATCTTCTGATTAGTCAAAATGATACAATTTACAATGCGCTAAAAAAAGATCTATCTCATAAGGACACTTACGAAAGCTGATGTGGCTTTTAACTAATTTTATATTTTAACAACTTAAATGTAAAAATCTATTATAATTAAAAAAATAAATAATTGTATTAAAAATTAATTTTTTCATCGAAAAAATTTTTTGCTTTCAGAAAATATTGTCCATATTCATAAAAACAACTAAAAGCAAATAAAAGCATTTGAAATTAAATAATATCTGTTTTATTGAGTTTTGCATGTTACAATTCAGAGCTATTTTCAGGTAGGGGATTCCAATTAAAAACAACAAAAAAAAAAAAAAAACATTTATAATAATTTCAATCATCTATGAATAGTTTCTGAAAGTTTCATTAACATCCAACAATTATTTTTATCTTTGCAAGATTTCCCAAATTAATGCGTGTCCTACATAATAATAATAAAAAAAAAAAAAAGTGCTAAAAATTGTATATGTTATTTTACTAGTTCTGGTGATACAAAGAGAAACAAGGTTTTGTTTTTTTTTTTTTAAAAAAAAAAAAATCAAAATTTATGATGTTCTAAAAAGGAAAATTTCTTTAAAAGAATAAAAAAAAAAAAAAACACTTTGGTCTTTCCGCTTAATAATAACAAGCATTTAGACGATAAAATTTTGTTTTGGTCAAGTTTGGCGTCTTTTTCATCATGCTATGCTCTTTTTTTTTTTTTAGCAGTCTCATGGAGGTACCTAAGCTAACGATAAAACTTATGGTAGTGGGAGCTGAAAGGTTAAGGGGATTTATTCTAAAATTTTAATCTTCATTATATTCGGTCGTTCAACATTACTTTATTTTAAGCTTTCTTCAGAAGCAACATTTTTAATTGATATATTCTATTTTTAATATATTTGTTGATAATTTCTCATAACTTACAAATTTAGAAACGTCTTTTTTTTTTTTTAAACTTTATATTAATTTTTATATATATATTTTTTTTGCAAATTTGGAAAGCTTTTTAGGTCATGAGTTTTAAATTTTATCCCTGTATGAAAAGACAAAAACATAATAGACTGCAAGGAACAGAAAATTCAACAGTTGGGATCACTGCAGTTGGTAAATAAACAGTTTGGTTCTAAACATTTTCAAGTGGAGATTTCATTTTTATTTTGGGCATTTGAAAAATAGTCAAGAATAAAGAAAAAAAAAAAAAAAAAAAAAAAAAATTCAAGGAACTGATAGCAAATTTCCTGTAAGGAAACCTATTTCAAATGATTTATAAAAAAAAAAAAAAAAAAAAAAATTTAGTTTTGTTTCCCATGAATGAAAAGGGTGTATCCTCGTGAAAAATCTACAAAATGGCTGGATTCAGAAGAAAAGCTCGAGAGTTTGAACAGATCGCCAGTGAGTAAACACAGGTGATCACATTATTGAATTAAGTGGATCACGTGACCATAGAGGAAATGCATATTATAGGAAGTTGCGTGACATCTAATTGATCACCATTTCTATTCTATCCTCTATTAATATATAGACTGCTATTCTCTACTCCATTCACTATACTATTTCTCTATTTGGATCACCATTTGAAGGTGTCTGACACCAGTATTGTTAAATGGCGTACTATAGCTGTATCTGCAATTACAGAGTCTCTACTACAACGAGCTTTACGAAAGTGATAACAAGTATTCACAAAAGTGGCAATGAGAATTCGTTGACATCACAAAACTTCCCAAGTTGCCAACACATTTAATGACTCAAAGATAAATAAACCAGATGCTGTTTCTATGGGCCCGAATATTAAAAAAAACCTTATTAGAAAAATATGCGCTCTCTGAATGTCTCAAATATTCAGGCCAGTTAATGTAAATAAACAGAGCATCTACTCAAATATGGGTATAAACTAAAAATAACATTTAAGTAATAAAATAGGACAGATTAATAAATGAAAAAATATAATATGAAATGGATTAAATCCAACATATAGTTATTTTTAATTTATTTTGTTTAAATGTTATTCTTGATGGATACTCATATTCAAGTAGAAGCTCTATGGGGAACTGTCATTGGATCTGACAGTCATGTACATCAGATCCAGTAATGAATATTCATGCCAGTAGATGTAGTTGGATAAAAAATACTGTTTAATTAAAAGACATCTGGATCTGACATGCTTAACTGTCAGATCTAATGACGGTTCCCCCATAGGTGATACAAGTTCAAATCCTGCATATTTTCCTGACAATATTTCTCAAATATGTAGTTGGATAAAAAAAGAAACAGGGCTTCTACTCGAATACGAGTATCCATCAAAAATAATGTTTAAACAAAATAAATTAAAAATAACATATATACATTGAGAGAAAGAGAGAAAAAAATAAAACCAAGGCAGCTCAAGCTAACACTGTGGTGTTTACCAACTAAGACTGTTTTGTTGTATTAGCTTCTGCTTGTTTATAAGCAGTCAAGCACTTTTTATAAATAAGTTTATCATAGTTGGAGATTACCAACTACAACGGAGTTATATATGCAACAAGCTACTTGAAGGTCATTTTATATTTATGCTTTATTTTGTAAGAAATGACTGTTTTGGATTACTTTCTTAGATAATGCATTGTCATTGTTAAAAAGGTGGTTTTCTTTCATCCCATTCCTGTTGCCTTTTTTATTGCAAATCTCAAGCTGTTATTCTTCAACAACTATAATGAGCTGACCTGAGAATTGAAAGAAAGAAAATGAAAGACTAGTCACAGACTATTATAAGAGGACCCAAACCCTGTATAATTTGCAATCAAAATAATTTCAGTCTGCATGTAAAAATAAGTATAGTTTCTGAAAGTCTTAAATTAACCTTAAAAAAAAAAAAAAAAAAAAAATCTTACAGCCCAACTGTATAATCTGAATAAAAAAAGTACATTATATATTCATTGACATTAATAGTCAGAATTTTATTACTTCACTATATAAAAACAAAACAAAACCCTATAATCATAAATTTTTGCACAGTAAAAAAATGCCAGGATGTAACCAAGAAAAATCTTAGCACAATGACTAAGGCAACTGAAAACACTCAAATAAAAACAAAACATTAACTTCCGATACTTTTATCCATAATTCTGATTCCGAAGTAAATCTTATTCAAAAATGTAATATAAAAAATTAACAGATCTTGTCAGTCGAATTTAACAAAACTTGCTTGGATGAATTCTTGCTACTTTAAATATACCTTATATACAATTCACACAGCAACAATATACTTTAGTTCAGCATAGTTATATAAAAATGAAAAATCTTTCTTGAAGCTTTTATTTTAGTTTTAATTTCAAGCTAATAGATTAAATTTAATATTTTCAATAAGCAAAATGATTTGCTGTATTTCAAAAACTAATTTAAATTGACTGGAAGGAGTTAAAAAAAAATATTGCTGATTTTCAGCCATCTTTTATCATAGTGTAATTCTCTTTATTAAAAGAAAAAAAAATCTTCAAAAAATAAAAACTTTTCTGCAACTTTAAGAAATATTAGCTGATTTAATGTTTAATTAATCTGATTTGAAACAAATATGACTTTTAGTTTGAAATATTACAGAAATGCATTTTTTTAACACAGTGGTAACTGCTTGTGTTGACATTTTGACCGACAGATGGAAGTTGAATTTTTTCTGCATTCATCATATCTGTGAAATATGCATCTTTTTATATAATTTTTACCTACACAGTAATTTTAAAAGAATCAGGAAATATTCTCCATAATCTACTGTTTTCTTGAATTTTAGGTACTTTGGCTTTAAATTTACTATAGTTTAAAATCTTACTTTCTGATGTCTTGGATGTACAGGGTGCAATGGGTAAATTGTTGCAATTTTATATTTTTAATTTTGCATTATTTTTTTATTTTTTATTTTGTTGACTGCTCAGAATAGTAGGGTCAGTTGGGCACAGTCTGCAAGAAAAAGAGCACCATGATGCAATTCACTCCACCAGAGATTTTTGTACTGCTGAAGACAGTACAGAAGATTCAGAAAGAGCTGGATGAGTCTAATGGTGATTATGAAGGTATGGCAGCTCTGAAAACTCACTAATTGTTCTGATAAAAAAGAACTCTCAAATTTGTTGGTGAGGGCACTAGACTCAATATGGAGGCTTACATCAAGTGCCTTGAGGAGGTAGTGCTGCCCTGGGTCAAAAGGGTGACTGCTGGAAGACACTGTGTCTGGTAACAGGACTATGCATCATGCCACATAAGCAGGAGAACCTAGACAAAACTCCTTGTAACACTGAAGCTGAAGGCAAAGATGATGGCAGCATTCACCAACTTAAAGAAACAGACCATCCAGAAGAGTTGTAGGATATTCCAAAGTTGTCTGGAGGACATGGTTAAAGCCAATCATGATTTTATTGAATTACTTTACTCTTTAATATCTGAAGATATTTTTGTGTAATTTTGGTAAATATAACTGTTAAAATGAGATGTCAGTGTTATCTTCATTTGAGCGTAATTCAGATGACAATTCATCCATCACATGTTATATGTCCGTATTTACAAAAAAAAAACAAACCAAAAACAAACCAAAAACAAAAAAAAAAAAAAAAAAAAAAACAGAAGATTTATACACACACACAAAAAAAAAAATTCCAAAATACTTTTAAAATATTGGTAGTCACTAAATTGTAATAAGCTTTTCCATTTATGATTAGTACATATAGTTTTTACTTAATAACTATGTCATCTGTGACAAATAAGGACAGAATTTTAAGATTTAAAACTTTATAAATTATTATAACTAAAATTTTAAAAACATGAAAACAATTCTTGTAAAAATTCATTATTCATTGAAATAAAAATTTTTTCTTAAAGGCAATAATATCCATAATATATCTTATTCATAAAAGTAATTAAAAACTTTTCTAATTAAATAATGTCAGTTTTATTGCATTTTTTATCTTACAATTCACAGATTTTCAGTAAATGGGGTCCTGCTTTAGAAAAAGAAATTGATGATTTAAATTCTCCAAGAAGTTCTGCTTTTAGCTAGCACAAACATTAAGTGGGCCAAAATTTAATTTCTCAAAATTTCATAAAATTAAATAAGTGGTGGGAGAATGTAAAAGTGAAAATATTTGTGAGTAATAAGTCCTAAAAGTTTCATTAAAATATGACAATTATTTGATTTCTGCAACTATTTCCAAACCAATGTGTTTTTACACTGCAATAAAAATATGCTAAAATTTCCTATACTAATCTTAGCCCCACTGTTTGATGCACAAAAAAAAAAAAAAAAATTTGAAGGTTCTAAAAAGTATTAAAAAATATAATTCAATAATCCCAAAAATCCTTTGGTCTTTCTTCTCAATATTAATAAAGATTTTGACAAAACTTTATTAAGTTAGCATACCATGATGAAAAAAAAATACACCCTAATTTTTTTACAAATCAGTGGAGGTACCTACATAAAAAACATTGTTTATTGATCTCTTGTTTTCTCTGCTTCTAATATTACAAAATATGATCACTTAACTTTCTTACAGAAAGCACTGATTTTTTTTTTTTTTAGTTTCTTAAGATATTTGTTTATTGCTGCAATTTCCAGGCCCACAGGAATTATAAAGTAGTACAATACACAGACAAATTATTCATTTTTTTTTTTTTACCTCATCAGGACAAATAACTAATTTGAAATTCAGCAGGTCATCAGGGTCTGGAAAATCCACTTGACATGTTTTTGGTAAATTTAATTCATTCATATCTGAAATGAAAGAAAACTTAAGCTTAAAAGAATTTCAAAAGTTGACAACATTAAAATTAATATATAGGAATGACAGATAAAAGAAAAGAAAGGCAAAAAAACAAAAACAAAGCTGTTACCAAGATATGATTTGTCAATATGAACACAAGTGTGTGTATATATATATATATATATATATATATATATATATATATATATATATATCCATCCATCAACATTTAAGGAGTTATCAAATTCTAGAATAGCAAGTCAAATATTAACAGTCCTACATGTTAAGTGCATTAATGATCCCGATTTCTCAACCAAAGCCAATGCACGGATGGTGATGGGGAAGGGGGGTATGCTAATGCCATTGGTTGGAATAAGAATGACTGTGGAATAAAAAAAAAAATCCTCTAGCAAGTACTCCAAGAAATATGACTCGAGATAAACCTTTCCAAAACAGAAACTATGAACTGGAATTGGATTCATGCTATGTGCCATCACTGCTTTTATTCAACCATAAAAATTCAGGATGTGGAATTTGTAAATATCAAACACTTGATGTATCTCAGTGTATGGATCAGTTATAAGAAATTTTGTTTAGGAAATAAGGAAACTGAACTTGAAATAGGTTGCACTAGAAGTAGTTTCATCTAATGCAGTAAATTGCTACAAAACTAAAACATTAACCTAGAGGGAGGGGGACTGTTCATGATCTTAAATAGGTTCTTCAGATCAAGACTTTCATATGGATGGCATGGCATCAAACTTGTTCACCAAACTTGTTCAGAAATATCTAAACTCAGAACTAGAATGAAACCTGTAGATCTTATTGAGGACCACACTTTGAACCTTGTGAACTGGCACGACAGAATCACAAACAAAGAATGGCTCAATATGTGTTGATATTAATACTCCTGGATAAGATTTTTTTCCAAGTACATAAATAGATTGCTTGAAGTGGGCTTGAGTACAAAAGACTTAACGATCTCAATGTCTATTTACACAAAAAACTGTACCAAATATCAGAAACCACATCACATGAGGACTACCAACAGCAGAAACAACTAAAATGAATAGCACATATAACTTGAAGAGAAAATAATGGCAAAATCAAAATGATGTTCCATGCCACTTCAAATAAAAGGTTAGGAAGGAATATCAGAAATAACAATAACTGGACTTTAGAAACCTATTTACCTGAAAAATTGTTTTAATAGGAAGATTTTATAAATTTCAACTGAAAGTAATACTAGCTGCTCAGTCAAATAATGCTCAGTGTTTCCTTATAAGGAAACGGCTAATACTGCTATAAATAATGCCCCAGATTTGAATTAAAAAGAAAAAAAAAAAAAAAAAAAAACAGTTTATTAGAATTCATTCTGTAACATCCATTCTATCCTTAATGATGACCTTCCAACAATTCCCAGCTCTAATAATACCATTTCTGTAAAAGACATCAAAAACAGAGTGGGAAGTTTCAATCTCTTCAGGTGTTTTAAGAACTAGTCCATTAAGATGGTCCTATAGACTTCAGAATAGTTGGTAATTGGTTTAAATGACAACTGGAGAACAAGTATAGTCCTATGATCTCTTCTACTGATTATGCAGTTATTAGTTGAATGTCTTCCAGGTCATTGGTGCCATAGTGAGGTTTCGCTCAGCAAAAATCTTAGTGATGATTGCAAAGGTCACTGAAAGGGAAGTAGTTCTTCCTGCTGGTGGATTTGAGCTGGACATGAAAGCAAACATGATTAAATGTTGTGTTAAGATTTATTAAATTTAAAAGTTTCTGTTGCAGTTGAAATGTCACACACACACACACACACCTCAACACGTGATGTATTCAAGAGTTGACTTTTGACAAATGGGGAATTCATCTTCCAAATTTAACCACCTTTCTAAGTTGTTTCAGATGATGGTGAACCACCGAATGGCCTGAAGTCAGAATTTAATAACCGACTAATTCTTCAGCCATAACAGCATTACTGTCCATTTCAGACAAGGACAAGTTATTGTTAAACTCAAATGTCTTTTAAAAGAGTGTATCCTTTAAACATGAATATTTTGGGTTGCTTCTACAGCATTATTGCCTTTTCTAGACTCTTTGAAAGTGACATGTTTTATGTGTTCCACAGATATCTCCATTATTAAGATCAAGTTAGTTGCTAAGTTAGTAGAGTCATACTGTAACAGTGCAAGTTGTTTAAAAAAATGGCATAAAGACATACTAACATTTTTATTATTTAGGTATTTTAAAATAGTGAAAATATTTTATTTTACTGTCATCAGATTTCAGACATTATGAATAAGAGAACCATATACTAGTCAAGAGATGATTAAATGACTTTCAAAGATCAACGAGAATTAAAAGAAAACTCAGTAAAGGAAAAATGCTTTCAAAATACAAAAAGATTGAGTAATTAGATTTCACTCGGGACTGTCAGAAAAGCAAGCAGTGTTTTGTATTTTTGTTAAAACAAAAAAAAATTTAGTTTTGAAATCTGAAGATGGTAAACATTTGATCTATTAAATTATATATAATGTCAAAATTTTTAGTGTTGTACAAGCAAATTTGTATTGAAAAACTTCAAGTTAATAAAAAGTAATCAAAACAGAATTCTTTTTCTGAAATTTGTTCAATCCTATACAAATTACAGAAAGATGTATTTTCTGAAAATATATTCAATTTACAATATGTAAGCAAAGTTGCTTTTAGATAATAAATCATTTTCCACACCATCTACTTTTCTTTAACACATTTGTAAGATGTGCATTGATAGTAAACAGACTAAATTATATGCAATTGCCTACAAATAGACAGAATTAAAAATGAAAAATAAATAAAAAATATCAGTATCTATAATACTATGTACTACTACACATATCCCATAATAGTTGTTACATTTGCATATTTCATACATAAAATGTACACCAACCATTAGATCAAACAGGAACATAAGTGTAATTATATACCTATCAGGCCCACCATCTGGCTTCACTACTTCCTTCATGAAAAAATAACATTACTTGGCTCAGGCACTACTCAGTGAATATAATTCATGTCACAATAACTTTAGGCATTTTTACTTTTTGTGATTTCAAAAGATAGAATTAATTCTTTATAATAGTCACTTAACAGCAACTTATAGTCAATGAAGGAAAATTTGAATTGCTTGGCACTAAATGGAATTTTAGATTGTAAAAGAGTATGCAACAATAGCATTATATATATATATATATATATATATATATAAAAAATGCTCAAACACTAATATTCCATGGTTATAATTTATTACATTGGAATTGTGATCCTGATCCAATTCATCAGACCTACAAATTCAAAAAGAAAATGGACAATATAACTTCGAAGTTATATTTTCCGATTTCTTTTTGAATTTGTGGGTCTGATGAATTAGATTGTGATTACGATTCCAATGTAATAAATTATAACCATGTAATATTAGTGTTTGAGCATTTTATATTATATTCTTACTCTGTCCTGGACATTGAGTTCTACCTGGATTCTATCCTCTTGGGAATTATATATGATGCGATGAGAACAAAATTAATATATAAATTCCAATGTTCACAGCATTAATCCAAAAGAGGGCTCAATACCGATAGCAGAGCAATAACCATTTTCAATTCTCACCCGTCGAAGTGCAGTTGGAATGCACTGAAACCAAGTTGCATCTTTGTAGTGAATAAAATGGTTTTGTCTATATGATAAAATTATAATAAATAAATATATTACACTTTGACCACTAATATATATATATATATATATATATATATATATATATATATACACATACAAACAAAAAAAACAAATGAACATTAAAAAGAAACTTGCATTTTCTTTAACTGCAGTACAATTGCAAAATTAATTTTGTTTTGTATATCAGTAACCTAGTAAAATAAATGTTTCCTCCCAAATAAAAAGGTACACTTGGAAAAAAAAAAAAAAAACTGGAAAAACCTGATGACCCATAATTAAATTGATTAAAAATCAAATGTAAAAAATTAAATGCATGTGTTAGAGTTTTTAAATAATCATTGCCAGAATATCAGTGCATGTTATATATCAAGACACCTCTTCTCAGATGTTTCCCTTCCATCAAAACTTCTTTATATTGAAAGTTGAAGAAATTTGACATTCATATATTGTTAACTCTTGAGGTAGCATTTTTTAGCTTTATTAAAACCCACATGAGAAAAAATAAATTATTTTAAATGCTCATTTTTAAAGAAACCAATTCTACCAAAACAATAAGTGATCAGCAATAACCATGGATATGATGAACAAAAGAACTTGAAGGAATATTAACTGTTGGTAAAATTATAAGAAATTTTGTTTCTAATATGATTCCATAAAGAAATCTTGGAATATTGCTGAAATCTGCAATCATCACTTCTGCTGTGGTATTTGTGAGCAGAGTTCAATGTATGGAAGCAAAAGCCAACAAATTTTTTATTCATTAGATAAAGAGTTCTTCCAACAAAACAAAGTACAGATTTGTAAAGGAGTCACCAGGTATAAATCACAACCCCCAACTTGTCAGCCCAATTATCAGAAGCTAATATCAAAGAGGATTACAGTTAATTATATAATGAAATGTGTTAATGAATCAAAAGTGGCTTTTTTTTTTCCATTACTATTCGATAATCTGATTTGCTGTTATATCTGTAACAATTTCTTGGCCCACTGTCAGGCAGGCGGCTACTGCCCAGACATATTTTAACCCACAATCTAGATCCTAATATTAATTTCTTATATGCAAGTTGATAAAATCCTAAAAGAAGGAAGGTCAGAATTTGATTGGGGGTGGGATCCACATTGTCTAGTGCAGATTTTGGTGACATGGCAATAGCGATTGAACCTTCTTTAAAAAAAATTTCTAGTCACGAACAGATACCTTGCAGTGTTCACCTTAAGATCATCAGCAGTTTGAAACTTTTCAATACCAATTTTAGCTTTTTTGGGGGGGGGTTCCAAAAGGTTTGCAGGCATCCAA